TTAGTTTTTGAGAATAGCAAAATATTCAGTCAGAGAAGTTTTCAAAGGAATCTATTATCTGTCCAAGTCTGAGACTTGGAGTGTCTAAGCTTTCCGCTCTCCTCTTGCTTACGCCAATTGTGCTGGATGGCCGCACCGCTTCGCTAGCCGCAGCTTTCGCGTGCCTGCGTCGTTGAACAAGCTATAGCGAATTGCTCCGCACCTTCCTCTTCTTTTCTATCCCCCTGTTGGCTAGCTAATAGTGATCAGCACACTTATTCAAACCATTTTTGGAAACATTGTGTTGTTATATAGTAATCCAGTATAGTTTGCTTCTCGTAAGTTAAAGTGTCGGTGCAAAATTAATTTATCACTAGCTTGCAGCAATCTGGCTGTTCTGTCCAAAGTTTGTACAATATACGTCCCACCTAACTCAGCTAATAATATTTCTATTTTCAGCGAACAGAGACGAATTCAAAGATGAACGAGCGCCATCAGCAGGTGGTCAGTCGATAGAGCATCCACTTCGACGGAAGACGTCTGTGCTGGTGCCATTGATGTCACGAGAAGATCTCACGCAAATTCCGGAAATGTTGGCACCACCGAATCGCATATGATTATTCCTTTTATAGAGCTTGTTCTTTGCATTTTCCACTTCTTCGAACTTTGAGAGTTAAAAAAGGCAGTAATTATACAACTCGTTAGCGATATTTCGCGCTTTCTTTGAATTTCCAAAGCGCATCGTTCGACAAAAGTTTGGAAAAATGATGCATGCAAAAATTGTTAAAGCAGTCAATATTGATTGAAGCTGCGCGGCCGCGCCGCAGTCACTGGTCCTTCAAAATCAATCAATAAAATTGCGCGGCTTACCTATGATGCATTTGTGCCATATGCTATTTGAATATCTTACTTGTTAGCAGTTGTTTGTATCGATCCGAGGATAACAATGCGAAAGGGCGGCTAAAAATCAATATTCGAGTTCAGCACTTTACGACTCATAGGCGTCGTCGCCTCGCGTGTTCAACGGAAGCGGTAGGTTGTTTTCGCGGCAGAAAAATCAAAACCAGCTACATCAAAAACACATTTCTTTCATTTTTTGGTGCAAATTTTGCCCAAAATATATCCAGTTTTGCAAGCCTTCGGTCTGTCATAGCTTTCCTTCCATTTTATTGTTGCCTTTTTGGGAAATTTCATGGCATCTTATAATTTGAAGGTACTTTCCATTTTCTATGCTTGTTCTGCATGTATTCCGAATGTGTATGACCATTTGTTGAGCCCTCAGTTGTTTTCATTTACCTGATATTTTTGATGCGCTTATAGTTTTTCGCCCGGGCAGCGGCGCGTCGCACCCTATCACGACGCCTCTGGATCGTGCATTTATAAAATTTATCGAAATTCAGCCATATTTGTGCCTTCGCTGTATTTTTTTT